AAAAATTTCATAACCTGGTCCTGCCCTGTCCTGCTATTTTCGCTGCCTGCCCTGTCCTGCCCTGTCAGGGCAGGGCAGGGCAGGGCAGGTTACCTGCATCCTGCAGGGCTCTAACACCGGGGGAGGTTCTCTTGTAAGACTACTTCCAACACAATCACTACTTATGCTTGCAGACGGTTGCCCTTGTTCATACATACACTCACTAACTCTGTGTTGTTCACTTTCGATGATTTCACACTAACTGTTTCGTTCATCCACGACAACTTGAACGAGCACAGCGAGGCGCATTGATGTGGAGACAACAATACGGTTTAAATATGCGCAGAGAGTATTGACCCATAAGCCCGATATCACATAGGGATGATATTATATATGTTTGATATGCCTATCGGCACAAACAAATTTTAGTATCATACAATAAAAAAAGTAAAGGTGCTGATTCTATTTTTTGTACTTTTTGGTGGATTATCTTGAAAAGCACAGTGTCATTTTCCCTTGTAGTCGAAAACATTTGGAACAGGTTATTTTCTTCTCACAAGCATCATATTTATTACTGATGCCCAACGTACATTTTCCTTTATGTTATATATAGAAAAAGAACGATGTACAAAGTTTTTAGTTTGATTTTTCTGTTTGCTTTTGGAGGTGTAGCAGGTCGTGCTCCTAAAACTAATGTTCAATCAAGCCATATTAGACATATTTCATTACCATTGAAACAAGGAAATAATGGTGTTGATGTTGATTTGTGTCCAACATGTGTTAACACATTTGATGATTTAATCTATTTTGTTCTTGACGGTATCATTGAATTGGGTATTATTAATACGTGTGATGATATATGTAGTTATGTTACTCAAAAGTCAGGATCGCCTGTTTTAGAAGCCATTTGTTCAATCGGTTGTGATATTGTGGGAGTTAACGAATTTATTAAATTAGCTACAGAAGTTGATCTTGATCCAATTTACTTTTGTGAATCATTAAAATTTTGTCCAAGTAAAAAAAAAATGTTTTGTTTTTATTAGATAAAATAATTTTGTGTTTTTTTCTGCTGCTTTAGTCAATGATAATGGTGATGCTAAATTTATATCATTTATTATTTCACCACCACATGCTCAAGCTTATAGTACATTTATTTTTGATTTAACTTTCGAATCTGTTAATGGAACTGGTACAAGTCAATTGCTGTTTAATATTCAAACCATCGATGCAATTAAAATTTCGTCTTTCTTTTTGATTGAAGCAAAAAAACCAGGTAAATATGCTGAACGTTTTAGTATTGATACTACTCCAGATCCAGATTGTGAATCTGCTGTCGGTAAGAAGTTATTTATTATTTTAATTTAATAAAAATTTTATATTTTTTTATAATAGATCCTTGTGAAGAATGGTTTCCGGGCGTATATAATGTCACAGTTATGATTTGTAATGGAGAGTGTGGTTCACATCATCCTCATAGTCAGCTTTATGATATGGTTAAAGGTTCATTTCAAATTGATAAATAATAATAAAGAAAAAAGGCTCGTTGTCACGATTCGCTAGACCACTGATTGGCTTCTATCTAATCATCGTCTCTCATTGTTTATTTGATTCGCTTTAAACTATGTGAGCGCATGGCGTGTAGCGAGAGTAGAAATCAGAGACTGGAACTGAATGAAATGAAATCGAATCATTTGAGTTATATTCGGTTAACAGTGATGATGGGATGTGTTTTGAGTAGTGAATTAATTATTTACGAAATAGCGGCTAACTTCAATTTTGAGTCATTGAATTTTCGATCCGTTTTTTCCCTAAAAAAGTAAGTGTTCAGAAAAAAATGGCTCTGTACTGCTCTGCATCCTCACATGCTCTTTCAAATAAAAAAAAAATTTAATATATCACACGGATCTGAGCAGAGAATTTTGGTAAACCATATTCGCTATTTTTGGCCCTTGTTTGGCTGGTATTTCCATCAAACATCATGATATCGAACTGAAAATTTCACCATAGCTTTTCCACAAAAGCCCCAACATATCCTGAAAATTTCACGTGATTTGGACGTTCCTGGGCTGAGATCGATTTTAGAGTGGGGGACCTTAACAAATACGATTATTTCTTATATTCTTGTTTATGATTAACTCGAACACAATTATTTTATTTCAATATAATTGATTGTTTAAGTGTTTAATCGTATCAATCAAAGATCTAAATTCTCAATGAAAATCTTTCGTTGATGAAATTTAAAAAAAAGATTTTTTTCGAATATAACTTGTGTAATTGTATTAAACTTGATTTGTTACTTCAAACTTGTGAGATTTATTCTGTCTAATAATATAAGAAATAGTGCACACTGATATTGACTATAAACTTAGTTTTTACAGTAATGTTTTCAATTCAAAAAAAAAAGAACTGATGTGTGAAGATGATCTTGTTAAAATATGTATGCCGATTTAGTTAATATTGAGACAAAGATATTTCTTTTATATATTTTTATATAAAGAAAAATTTCATGATATTGAATGATTTATAAACGAATATAAAAAAGGGTAAATGTTCTGTTAAAATATTAGCATGAATTAAAATTATTTGTTCTAATTTAATATTAAATAAATAATTAGTTAAGAATTCTCCAAAACCAAATTTTCTATAATCATATCGAATATAAACAAGACCAATCTTTAGAATTGATTTCATTTTATCATTATTTATATACCATTGTTCAATTGAAGAGCATTTTCGACGTATTATTATATAAGATATACTTGGTTTAAATGAATTAAAATACATTGAATAATCAATCGATGTATGTTTAAATATAGAACAATTAATTAATAACAAATTTATATCATTTATATTAGAAGATAAAACTGATTGAATTAACAAATTAATTGATTCGATTTCTTATTTCTATACATAGAACAAAAATAAAAAATAACAAAGACATTTTTCTTCGTTTGATTATCATTGAAGTTCTTCTGAGGTTTTCAAAGAATCTTTTTTTCTTTTAATTAATAAATGTTTTTTATGTTTTTCTTAATTTATTATCAATGATATAAATTAAAAATAAAATAAATCATATCAATATGCAACTAAATTCAAACTTGAATATATACATTTAAATTGGTGTGATTAATTATCGGGTTAATACGACGTAACAACTCTAAACAACAATCTATACTAGTTCCATTAGAATGAGTAGCATCAACACAATCATAAGAATAGATTCAAAAGTTTTCATCATATGATTTTTCTATGACACATCATTGAAAATATTACCATTTTATTACAGATAAATACAATTTAATTGCATTTTTTATTAGATATTATTATAAATCTAATTCATCTAATAATAAATATTTTTGTTTATTATTCAAATATTTATAGTGTTCGTTATCAATAACTAGATATAAAATCACAATAAGATTTTTTATTTCAATAATAAAATGAATATTTAAATGTTATTTTGTTTTCTTTTTTTCTTTTTATCGATGTACCTTCCAAACACATTTTAAACATATTTTCACAGAGGTAAAATAAACTTCTAAAATTTCAATTTTTTTCATATTATAATTCATATGAATTCGATCAAAATTCTATGTATGTCACAAAATAATGATTTAGTTATCGAGAACCTTACAAAAAAAAAAAAGTTTCAATTGTTTAACGAAAAAAGACTATTCTATTATATTTGAATAAATGTAAAAAGAAAAAAAACATGAAAAGAATTAGTCTATACCTATTTTGTTTCATCTATCTGGCTAATCAATCTAATATTTTCTTTTTCTATACGAATACGATCTCTTCCGTTCAGTTGATTTATCATCAATAATACTACTAATAATACTATTTATCAACAACAACCATTCAACTATTAACGTATATTCATTTGACGATTTCCAAATCTATATATTATTTTGAATAACTTGGTTGAGATCGTTATTTTATATTTATTTGTTAATTCAAGTTGATAGACAAAAAACCAGGCTAATAGAGAGATTACATGAACAAGATTTTTAATAAGAAAATAAATATAGTAATAATAATATTAATCTATGATGCTTGATAAGAATTAAATGTTGATTTATAAACTTTTTGATAATTATCATCAATTGATTTAATATTTGTATTTCGAATAATCCTTTCATGTTTAATAACTTCATTCAATGACATACAATCTAGTGGATTACGACGAATTAACTAATATTATCATTCTTTACAAAAATTTTTATTGAAAAATCAATTTATACAGGGTGGACGTTAAGTAAGGTAACAACAAAAAATTTGAATATTTTCACTCTGGTTTAATCAAATGAGCTGATATTTTTGTAGGTGACATAGGAGTGTTCAAAGTTATTTTACATAAGAAAAGCGTTAAAAAATACTGTTTTGAACTATCACATTTGACTTGAATACAGGAATTTAGCATTCAACGTAATGGTTTGGATGATGTTCTGAAAACATTTCTCATTCGATTTTGATTTCCAATGTACCCATTCGATAGAAAAAATTGTTCTCTTTCGATATACGCAAGCTATAAGCATTTTTCTGAGACTCCTGAAATTGACTAATTGACCCTTAAAATTGGTCAATATAGGGGTAATCGACCATGCTGAGTCGAGGGGTGATGTTTATTTTTAGTTTTGAAGCGATATAAAGTCACTTTATCAAGATTTTAGAAATATCAGCTCTACGGCAACATAGCGGCGAAATGTTAGAATTTCAAAAAGCTTGATAAAGTGACTTTATATCGCGTCAAAACTAAAAATAAACGTCACCACTCGACTCAGCGTGGCAAATTACCCCTGAACAACTTTTCTATCGCATGGATACATTGGAAATCAAAATCGAATGAGAAATGTTTTCAGAACATCATCCAAACCATTACGTTGAATGCTAAATTCCTGTA